GCTGCCGAAGGCCAGCTTGGCGGAGGCGGCGGCCAGGGCGCCGAACGCGCCAGCGCACAGGCAGTTGACCACGCCCCAGAAGCGGCGCCGCATCGCACCGGCCTGGAGGTGTGGGGGGAATTCCGCGGGGGCGTCGGGATAGACTGCCGAGGTGCCCGTGGCCATTGTGCCCACCGCCGACTCTCCGCGAGCCCGCCGCGCCTGCCACTGGCAAGGCCGAGCGCGCGCTGCGATTGGACAGTGGCCTCACGTGATGCGATGCTCGCGTGAGCAGAAGGCCAATCCGGTCCCGCGAGGGCTTCGCGGGGGCGGGACCAGAAGAATGGGCGGGGCCACTGCAGGCGATGGGCGGCCTCCAGGATTAGGTTTTTTTAGGTTTACCCGCGAGCGCCCCAGGACCGCTGTCTGGGGCCTGGACTCTGGTACTGTGTGGTTGCTCTTGCAGAAGAGCTATTCGCAGTCTAGTAGTCCCAGTTCTTGCCACTCGGTGTGTCCGGCATCAGCTTCCTCTGGGAATTTAATATGCCGAATCTCGGGCTCTGCTCCAAACCCATTAATCAGAATCCGCATTTTGACAAGACCTCCCACCCCACACAGGGGATCCACCTACACCTTCCAGTTTGAGAACGAAAACGGAGAGCTGCTTCGGCAGAGGGCGCTAGAGACCTCCAGACACCGCAAGAAGGCGGTAGGGTTTCGACAAATCAAAGGGCCCAGATGGATACAGGCTCATTGCAGGAAATTTAGAAAAGATGTTATCCATAATGACTCCACCGGATAGTCAGGATTAACATTACTTCTAATTTCCTATGCATTTAAATGTTTAAAAGCTTTTCGTTTAATAAGTAGTACATTTCTTTGAAAACAAAATGCTGTTAAATCTACGAACGACTACATCCACTCTCCAGGAAAATCAGTTATTGGACTACTTTTTCTCCATGCATATTTAGTTTTATGTATAGCGCACATTAAAAAAAAGCTTACATATATGCATGCGACTTTTTAAAACATGATTTCACAATGAACATACTGTTCAGCACTTTTTATTCTCTTCCACTCAGTAACTTCATGGAAGTCCTTCCTTGGCACGGTGGTTTTATGGCTCAAATCAAAGCATGGTACAAACGGTCCCATTTTGCAGTAAAGGAAACTGAGGCTCAGACAGGCACCATGCTGCTGAACGGGGTTGTGAGAACCCAGCTCAAAGATGATCGCCCTCTGAAAGCTCTGATGTCACTTGGGACCTACTGTAAATCGAGTGGCATTGCACTTGATCAACTCTGCATGCTTTTAGAGTATGAAATGAGCCTTCTTAGAATGATGCCTCTACCAGCATCTCAGAGCCACGTCCTGTGTAAAGCAGTCTGTGCTACTCCCCACCCTTCACACCCATCCTGTCTCCCTGCTAGCCTGCAAGCCCCCTCTCCAACTTTACCTTTTTCTCTTCACTGTGTCCATTTTTCTGTATTTTTTGTTCTGTTCGGTTAGAAAATGAGGACATATTCGAGGCCAGGCCCTGTTCCAGGCAGCCCAGTTGCCAGGATGACTAAGAACTCTGCACTCCTTGGGTTCTGGCTTTTTGCAAAAATCTCAGTTCCAACTCTGTCCTGAGCTGGCCTAAGCACCTCCCTTTCCTTGCTCTGAGAGGTATTGTGGGTTGAATTGTGCCTCCTCCCCACCCTACCCCCACCCCCAAAGAAAAGGCTACGTTGAAGCCTTTATCCCCCACACTTGTGAATGTGGTCTTATTTGCTTATTTGGAAATAAGGTCATTGCAGATGTAATCAAATTTACATGAGATCATTAGGGCGGGCCCTAATCTAACTAATGTCTTTATAAGAAACAGACAGGGGAAAATGCCACATGACCATGATTGGAGGTTTGCAATGTACAAGGCAAGAACCGCCAGATTGCTGGCAACACCACAAGCTAAGAGGGGCATGGAACAGATTCTTCTCTGGGGGGCCACAGAGAGACCGGCTAAGAGGGGCATGGAACAGATTCTTCTCTGGGGGCCACAGAGAGACCGACCTTGCCAACATCTTGATTTTGGACTTCTAGCCTCCAGAACTGTGAGAGAATATAACTTCTGTTGTTTTAAGCCATTCAGTTTGTGGCAGTTTGTTGCAGAACCCCAGTAAAGTCATACAGGTGATAAGGACTCAACCTTCTTTATTACCAGCTTCAATATCCACCTGCTCCCACCTTCAAGGCAGTAGTGTCTCTTCTCTACCTCCTATTGAATTTTAGCTCCCTTTTCATCCCTGACTCTTAGGGCTTTACTACTACTCCTTGAAAATTTAACTATGCATTAATTTAAAATTGTTTTTCTTTAGCTTTACTGAAATATAATTTCCAAACCATAAAACTATAACCCATTTTGAATATAGTTTAATTTCTGGTAATTTATAGTTGTACAACCGTCACCACAAACCAGTTTTCAAACATTCCCACCGCACTGAAAGTTCCCTTGTGCCCATACAGTTGTTTCCACTCCCATCCCCAGCCCCTCCACCAAGGATTACTTTCTATCTCTATAATTTTGCCTTTTCTGGATATACCACACATATGGAATCATATACCATGTGGTCTTTTGGGTCTGGCTTCTTTTGCTTAGCATTTTTTTTTTTTTGAGGTTCATCCATGCTGTAGCATATATCAATCTCTTTTTTTATTGCTGAGTATTATTTACATAATGTGTAAAAGTGTTCGATATTATTGGTCATTAGGAAAATGTGAGTGATATACCGGTGTGCACCCACTAGGATGGCTGTAGTAAAAAACCTGAATAACAAGTGTTGGTGAAATAAGAAAAACTGGAACACATGGTGCGGCCAAACAGCACATTTGGAAAACAGGCGATGTCTTAAAAAGTTAAACACACACTTACCAGATGACCCAGCAACTCTACTCCTAGGTATCCACTCAGATAAAAAAACACATGTCAAGGCCAAGACTCATGCTTGAATATTTTTATAGGATCGTTACTCATAATAGCCCCAAATTGCCAACAGTTCAAATGTCCATCAAATGGTGACTAAATGTGGGACATCCATACAATGGAACATTACCCACAATCAAAAGGAACTGAGCGCTGACTCACAGAAGTTCCTTGAGGGCAGGGTCTTGTTTGCGTTGCTCACTGATGACCAGTGCCTGTCCTGTATGAGCGGCTCGTTAAGTAAATGTAGCATGAACAAGTGAATGAACAAAGTAAATCCCTTTATTAGACTATTTTTAAAAGATTTATTACATTTCGAAGAATGGCCACATTTAGTCATAAAAATGCTCATGAGAATACTTAAAGTAAGAATAAAAAAATAATCTGTATTAACAAGTTTGCTTTTCATACACACTGCACAATCAGTCACTAACCTCATTGCAAGTTTTGGAACCACGATATACTGTTAGGGCTTATGACGTAGGACACAAAGAGGAATAAGCAGGATCTAACGAAAAAATAATCTGGCCAACGTCCACTGTAAACATTAGCTACAGGCTTTTACTTTAAAAAGGCAAAAGGTTTTCCCAGTATGTACAGCTGATTTAGAGCCTTGAAATGGGGTGGTAGCCTCCAACCAGCAGATGGCTGACTGCCACGGGACGTGTATGGATGCAGAACGTTCATCAGAAACTCTTTTTCGTTTCTTTCAAAAATACATTTTCAGCACGCAACTTTTCTTTCTCCTGGTAATATTTTTTAAAAAAAGAAAAAAAATTAAGGCTCTAATTCTTACAGGAAGACTTATTCTTGGCATTCATTAAGTTTATATTTCAAATTTAAACTACAATTTTCAATTTGTAAACTACTTAACATTAAACAGGAATCTGATGTTTATGATAACTGACTGAATTATGCTTGGAATAGCAATGACTGAATATTTTTTAATTCAAGAAGTTCCGTGAAGAAACTGTTAAGTGATTTAATAAATTAAATTTTAATTAAATAATCATTTAAAACCGAGAGTGAGTTTATGCGGAATAATTTTGAGAGTTTACCTCAGCGAGTCTGACATTTTCCTTCTTCAGCCGCACTACGTAATGAATCTTCTGATTTGGATTTTGGTGACCTACCAACTTTCCATTTTCTTCAGCGAGACGCTCCACCTGCTTCCTTAGCATTTCTATCTCCTACAGGTCAATCAATCCAGAGAGAAGAAAATGAGCTGCTCTTATTTTATTTTTATTCACTCACTCAGTCATTCATTCAATCATTCATTCAGGCGAGGCAACGCTTGGTTGACATCACAGATTGCAAGGACTTTGTCAGCTTACAATCTCTTATTTATTTTTTACGCCTACATCCAAGTACTAATCAGATCCAACCCTGCTTAGCTTCCGAGATCAGACGGGACGGGGCTTGTTCTTATCTTTTTAAATAACATGACTTCATGGCTTCTAAGAGCACGGGGAGACAGCCCAGGCTCGCGGCTTTCGTGACCACACACCTCTACCTGTGCTACAGCAAGTCCGAAACCAGGACACTCATTCGCACACGTAAATCTCATTCTGATCGGGTCTAGTAATCCTAACAAAAATAAAGACACAAAGGCACCTGGAATGTTCTCTCCTTTTCTTCATATAATTCTTCCAGCTTTGATCTCAGTTGTTCCTTTTCTTGAAACGCTTTAGACTCCAACGTTCTGGTTCGTTCCACTTCCTCGGTCATTCTAAGGTAGTCCGTCTCTTTGTTATGAAGGGCACCCTGGACTTCTTCTAGGCTATAATAATAAATATCACTTTGTGGTATTCCAAAGAAACATAATTACAAAAGAGAACTCAAATTAGACCTTTTCCAACTAAGCCCAGAATCCTGACTCGAAAGTATCACTAGTCCTCTGCCTCCCCGACAGCCACAGGAAGATCACGCGCGCTGCAGATATGCTCTCTTTATTGTTGTTTTACCCAAGATTTTCAATTTGGCAAACTCTGCAAGCCATTTTTTTTAAATGATGAAAATTTAGAATGGAAACTTTAGATTCAGCCCCCGTGGAGCAAATGTAGTTTAAGTATTACGGTTTGCATGCTTTATTCAGTGCCCCGTATGTGAGTAATCATTTCTGATTTTAAAAACCGGATCTCAGACAGCGGGACACCAGTCATTTCTTCAAGGATGTGATATTTAGAATTTACATACTTTATGTAACTATCAATTGAAAAGAAACATAAGGAAAAAAGGTTACTATGGAATTATAGAGAATTTCACTGATT